CTCGTCCTGCTGTGAGCCCCATACCTCTAGCACGAATTCCAATACTAGGAGTTTTCGTCTGTTGGAAAAAGGGTGTATAGCCCACGACCCACGTAGGACCGACAGAATGAAGAGCAGAAGATTGCCTTCCATTGCGCTGACCTTTTCTCCGGCTTCTCTCAGTTCGCTGCATTCTCCCTCTGCCGGACGTATCCACCTCACATGCAGTGTATACAAACCTGCAGACCAGGCTAATGGACACGTCAGTAAAGTTGAAGTTAGTACTTGGGGGGAGGGGGTCGCTAGTAGTCGCGTCACCTTTTCTACAAGGCCTGAAAGTTTAGATGTAGCGCAAAAGCTGTAATATTCTTTAATTTCCACATTTGCTATTCGCTAGAAGGCTTGTTAATATTGCTCGACTCTTCATTGATCTATTTTCTTTAGCTTGGAATGGCGTTAACTAATATAATGTCTTTGACGTTCATTCTTGGAATCCTTGGCAGCAGTACTACCTAAATCCAATGAGATACCTAAAATAGGTGAGTGAATTCTATGTATACAACATCTGCGGAATGGCAGGTAAACCACCAGAAACCCCCTTCGCTGACTGGGGAATAATCGTGCAAGTCACCGCTCACCTCGGCGTGTGAGGGTGGAAGTGGGCACAGAAGCGGTCGAGAGGGCAACGATCACCCATGTCCTTTTCAATCTCCATTTCAATCTCGATTGTAGGTCGCTCGCCTATGAGGGACTACATATTGAGTCCTACAAAGCTGCAGAACTGAGATAAACTTATAAGACAACAAAGTGGGCGCTAACCGGCCCTTTCAATGTGGAAAACCAGCTGGTTCCATCCTGAATCGCATGATTCGCACGCATTTCTGAATGTGCTCGTGGAGATTTGCAAAAATCGGATTACATTTAAAGTCAGGGCATTTAGTCCCAGTCGCCAGCGGAACCTGCGACTGCGCGGCACTGACGCTATGGAGAAGAAGAAGCATTTACCACCAGTCGTGTTCGGTATTAATTCGCACCCTGTGAACGTCGAACCCTTGATAGTAGGTGTGGTCGATCTGCCCTGTGTCTATGACAATAAGGAAAGCCGATCTTACGAGCTTCTATCGAAAAAAGTGACCTGCGGGTGGGCGAAATCCACGAGGTAAGGTGGGTAGTTCCAGATCTGATTTCTCAAAAATGAAGGCGTTCTAGTGCCAAATCGAGTATCACGAATGCGTACCTTTACCTCATATACAGTTTTGATTCACATAATTTGTTGAACTTTGTTAGCATCCTTATACTGGTTTCCATATTGGGACAGTCGAGCCACTAATTATGACGGATTTCCAAGCACGTGGACTACCATCTGGGTTTCAGTGCCGCGCGTGGTGGGGAAGGGCTCGTCTTCGTGATCTCGGGAAGGGGTGGCCAAGGTTCAACCATTTCCTGAAAAGTGCAATTGGGCTGGCATGAAATGAAAAGTGTTTTGGGAAGTGAGGTGGTTTGACTTCGACTTTTAAACCAATTTAGCGAATTTATAATGAACATAAAGGATAAAATAAAGCATTTGCCGTTGATCAATCCCTTTTTGGGATGCGGCACGCATTCTACTTCCATTTGTACATTCGTAGTGGCGTTTGAATGCGATGTGGCCTATACAATGACTTGCGGGGGCCAGCCGATGTACAAGTCAGTGTTTTTTATCCTCCCAGACAAGTCTGGTACCAATTAACCGATGGAAGGCTTGGTTGGCCCGGGCGACTCACGACCCAGGATTTGATCCCCGGACCGCTCGCGTGGTAAGCGTGCCACTTGCCACTACACCACTTCCGCCCTAAGAAGGAGTCTGAATAAAATAAATAGTAGATTTGCCGTTTCTTGAAAGATACTGTGTTTACCACAAGTCTCCCTCAACCTAGCGGGAGTGATGTACTGGAAAGTGGTCGGGGGATCCCGACTTGTGTGTCGTCCAACTCAACAAAGCCTTCCATTCCTGCTGTTCGGGGTCAATTAATTGCGTACTTAACTGTCTGGCTGGATGGCAAAACAGCTACCCCTCCATTATATGAACTAACCAAACCGTACTTTGAAGCTGGCCCCTGCCATCAGAATGGAGGTTAGAATCAGTGGCACACCTTGAAAACGGGATGATCGAAGCCGGAATGATTTGACCTTTTTTGTTATCGCTATCTCCTTGCTCGAGGGTGCCTTTGGAGTGAAGTGTTTCCAAAGTTGGAGTGTATTGACTGGTCTCATCACCAGGCTTGTATTTGTGATAAATCAATCGAGGCCGGCTAACTTTTCCATTCTTTCCTATTCTTTTCATTCTTCCAGTATTAAAAAACAAGACAACAATGAACATAATGATCGCGCTCACTTCACCTTGCCATGGCGTCCGCTCTTTAAGACAAATAGGCCAAAAAATGCATAGGACGTTAGTTATAAAGGATGGGGAGATGACTACAGTCACATAAAAAACTGGATTGCGTTCCATGGAGACATCGAAGTAGTTCTGAAAGCAATTTTTACTTCGCAAATAAGTTGTTACTAGATTCTACAGGTTGATTTGTAAGCCCTCTAACATTCATGAACGTCTCTATTCAGAAATGTTTTTTCATGCCATCCTTAACATTTACCGGATAATCCGAAGGCCCATTCAGTAAATTAAAGAACACTCTAACCCCCTCTACTTGATCGTAGGGAGTGGTTGATACTATGGTTTCATAATTCTCTCCCTTTGACATCGCTTGACAATGTGATCATCAGGAATGAGAGGTGACATTATGAGATTGGACCACCACTCACCAGAGTTCAGATCCTACGTTAGTTCACTTTTTCAAAAATTTTTTTACGCCCTCTCCCCCAGGATGGACTTGATACGTACCCTCTTGTCGACAACTCGTTTCGTTGGCGTAAATACTAAAGCTTTTCAAAGAACGACGCCACTTCAGGATTGTCAACATATAAAAACTTTTTATTCAATATTTTTCATGTAGTTAGCATTTTCGAATACTCCGTTGCTTTTGAAGAAAATTGGAGCCGTCCGCCGATGTGGCTTGCTTCCTGAACTCATCACCCTCATCCTACCCTAACTGACATTCGTATGACCCTCTTATTGCTACTAAACTCTATATTCCTACTGTTTGGAACGGTAAGCAGAGACAAATGTAGATATTGCGGCGAATAACCAAAGCTGTTAGTCAAAGGTATTCTGCAGAAAGCAGCCATTCTTGCGTTTTAGCAGGCCATGGCCAGAATTCTTGAATAGCAATAAATCAGTGTTAACAATAAGTGAGCAAAATTTGATTTCACTTACAATTCCCACAAGAACCCCATCTGTGTTCTCTTCGGGTTTTGTCCACACAGAAACATTTTTGATTTGCCATTCGCCGTTTCCTAAACAAAATTTTGAACATTATCGGGCATCTTCTTCGTGTCTAACCAGCTTTTCACGTTATTTTTTAAATGATAAAAGGCACAGTTTAACTGAAGCTCCAGAGTTCTTCTGTGACAATCTGCTAATCCCCAAAAAAAAAAAAAACAATGTGAAAGAATCGATAAGAACACCCATCTGTGCGATCCGCGAAGCATTCGTTGTGAAGAATTTTGCTTCTATGGCGTATTGACGAGCTATGAATGTCTGTGCCATCACTTTGATAGTGCACGTTTGGACGTCGAAAGGAAAGTCGTGTATCTGAATACATTTGAATAATTTGCCAAATTTTCAAAAAAACAAGATTTTGATAGTGAATAGGCGAATTGCCAGCGGCAGAAAAGCAACGCTATTGGAATCAAACCGTAGAGCCGTTTCTACCCAGATTAAACAGGCATTTCCTTTCTGCCAGTTTATTCAGCTAATCCGGTAGCAATCCCTACAGTTTTGCACCGAATACCATTACATGAAACAAATACTCACACAATTGATATAGCAGGTAGTAAATGAACTAAGACCCATGGCGCCTCTTCTGAAGAACAACGATCAGCGCTGAGGCGATTTTTGCCATCTTGAACACTGGTAAAAAGTGGGAAGAGTAATGTGAGAGATTTCACTTAGCGTCGTACCTCTCTCAATAAATCTCAGCCAAAGGATAATATGTTGGATTCTTCAGGTGAACAACTCAAGGTTCGCGGAGGGGCACTGCGCAGCATACAGAACAAAGCCGGTTTTAACAGTCCGATGAGTGACCGCTACCGTAATCCACGTTGGCACTGGAGCGCGCAGCTACACTACTGCTGTGTACCCACACGTTTCAGCACCAACGTGAGAGGGTATAGTGCCTCGCTGGCGAGTGCACAATACCCCCTCCACCACAGCCCCTTGGGCGACTATCCAAAAATACACGCAGCGCTCGCCTCGCGCTTGCGCGGCGCAGGGCAAGGGAGGTTAGCCCCGGGTGGGTGCCGCCAAACCACTTGCCGGCAAGTTCGACCGACTGCCATACTCCTCCTATATACCAGCACATGGACGCTCCGTACAAGAGCCAGGTTCTATCACGCCCATTCTGTCGCCGTAGAGTGCGCGGAAAAACGACAAAAGGGCACGTCGAATTCTAATCGATGACACGTGACGTTGCGCGCCAACCAGTCACGTGTTACGGTTGCGGTCACTCACCGGACTTTGTAATCCACTAATCAGAGTCAACCCTGCGTTGCGCAGTTCTTCAACGGCCACGTTGCGCAGTTTCGCCCGATTAGACACGTTCTCTCGCGCGAACATTCACACTCGCATGCTCGAGCCGTCTGCGTCTCCGCCCATACAGCGTGCGTTGAGGATCTCTCAACGTGTCCGTTGCGAACTGCGCAACGCACGGTGTATGGATGCGAACTGCGCAACGCAGGGTTTGATCTGAGTGGCGGTCCATTGTTCGGTCTCCAGTACTAAAATTAGGGAATGAGCATTCATGACAAGTAATTCATTTATTTAAAAGGTTGCTTTTGTCAAGGACCGGTTTAGTTGAAAGTACGGGTGCTTTCAGATTTTCGGCGATTTCTTCCATCGATCATTCTGACACTTGCTTTGCCAACCGAAACTCCAACTACTTGAAATTCTGAAAGCATCGAAGCCATTTAGCGCTGCTCGACCAATGGAGGACCGGTGAGTTACGGTAAGTGCAGGCCACCTTGCGATTACGATTACTTAAATTGCTTCGATCTATCGAGCTCTGAAGAAGGCGATCCCTCGAAACGTCAGCCAATAGAGATCAACAACAAACTCGTGAGCAGTTGAAAAAAGATGGCAACAATTCTTTGTCTTTCTCTATAGACTGCGTCTCAGTAAAGTGTGTGTGATCTTGGATCTAGGCCAGGTTTTGAATCGTGGGAATAAATAACATACATAGTAAAATTCTCATAATTTTCGCTCACGCTGCATATGAGAAGTTCTCTCGGAACGAAAGAAGTACTTTAATGCGATTTTTACTTGACATTGACATTGTTAGAAGAATCCTTCTTCGTTTTCTAGTAGTAGCCGTAGAAGTCTCGACCTTAATCTTGCATGCGATGGACGTCACTGTCGGCACGAAGAATTCCACCGAACCGGAGCTATTCAACTGAAAATAGGTTTACTTTTGTGCTGAACATACCTGGAATTCATAGTTTCCCTTAAACAGTACGGCAATCTCTGTTTTATGAGTTACGTGCATAGATGAATGTGTAGCTAGGTGCTAGCTTCACACCAGGGCCGTAAGGTATGCCCCCGAAGGTTTGGGGGAAAATCCCTTTAAATTTTCTCTGTCTTCCCAACTGGGATTGTCCTGATAAAGGGCCTACATTTAATATATGTGTGTAGGTTAAAGTAAACATGCACTGAAAATGAAGAAAACAGTATCGTTCAAAACAAATAAATTTAAAGGGACTTTCGTCCCCCAACTATTCGGGGTTGGGCCCCAGGATTATCGCGTTCGGCTTTGGAAAATCGAGAGCGATAAGCGGGCAAGTTTCATTTATTGTACTTAGCGTCACCGTGGCGGGAGTATTGTGCAGCTACGCGCGACCTCACACTACAAAGTCCCGACCGTCTAAGCCGGTCGATCGCGTCAGTTTGCGCGATCCTTCCTTCAGCTGGCCCACTGATCAGAGCAGTCATCCGCGGGTTTCATAACAAGATGTTAAATGTTAAAATGTCAAAAATGGGAAGATTTCCGAGAAACTCCGTTGAAATAAATGATTTTGAATCAATATTGAATTCATCGTTAACATTCTCAACATTAAACCATCAAAGCTGAAATTCGAAAAATTATAAGAGCAATTGTTTGGGAAAACTCTCATGAACCTACCAAAACGAATTCTGGAAGTCTTCTCGGTGATCTATGGGTGGAAAGTCTGCAAATTTTGTTATTAGTTATTATTATAGTTCTACATTAGAAAAATGATTAAGAAGTTCTGAGGTATGCCAGACAATCGATCAGCAAAAAAGCGCAATTACATCCGTCAACTATAGTCACTTCTGGTATCCAAACATCTTCTCGAGCCAAATACAGCTGGTTGATGCCGCAATGTTCTGACGGAGTCCATCGAAGCCGGTTGTCATTCCATTTCTATTACAAGTATCCTTCAAGCCTCGTATGCTAAATCGTACGTGGAAATATGGCACGATTAATGCGAAGCCAGCTCACCAACTTATATTCTAGAATTGAAGTCCACCTTCTGCTGAGATTCAACCTGAGTAATAACGAAATATATCACGAATTTTCCACATTTTACTAAGGCGTTTAAGAATGTAGCAAGAAGCTCACCACGCTTATCAGCCGCAAATAATTAATTAGTAGTGAGACTTCGGAAATCGTGGACAGAGGAACTCTGGGCTACTGAACTGGTGTTAGAAAGAAGGTAGAGCGAGATAAGCATTAGATGGGATGACTTTGATCCTCTGCTCGTTAGTATTGTAACCAGTATTTATTCAATATTGATTAAGTGCGCCTATCTAACCGTGAATATGAGCGCGGCTTTTGGCGCGATAAATAAATAAATGGCGGAATGTCGCCCACTACTTGTGATGAATGCCACTTGAAGTGTCAATCCTTCACAAGTTGAATGAGTGATTGCGATTATTTCAGCAAGATCCGAAGCACTCCGTCAATTTACTAAGACTTTGTAGGCGTGATCGCGGCGCGAGTGGCGCGTAGTAGTTGCGTCCGCCAGTACTGCTAAGGGATACCATATCGCTTGCGAAAGCACATCGTTCGTTATCAAGGGCAGCCACTGCCTTCCCTAAGTTGAGTTTTTCCTTTTCCGGCTTCGACTTTATCGTGTGTAGAGTCTCGTTTTCAAAAGAGATTCATATTTCATTATCATCACGTTTTTTGGAACCTTATACTCCTCGGACTCAGTTACGCTTCGTGGTTTCTCAGAAAGAAAGCAGTTTCGAGCCAGGGTCAGTCCTATCGTTGCTACTTTTCGAAAAGTTTTTACGACCCCCCTCCTTCAGGAAAAGTTTCCTACGACCCCCCCCCCTTCCGAACCGACCAATTTTTACCACCCCAAAAAATTACCGTCGAGCGGGGGGGGGTATACTTCCCTTAAAACCGCAAAAATTCCCTACATTTCCCTACAATTTCTAATTTCCATATATTTTACCCATATTTCAACTGCTCCATTTTCTAGGGAGGTATATACGCGCGCTGAAACGGCAAATTTTCTCCCGCGCCGCTCCCCACTCATCACATGCAACTTCTTACAACCGAAGCAAGTACGACCCCCCCTCTACAAACTCATCAAAATACGACCCCCCCGTTGCTACTTGTAGCAACATAGGGTTGACCCTGGTCGAGCACAAGCTAATGAGTAACTAACTCGTATGGGGTTCCCGTGAATAGATAGTGCAGATTGGCAGAGAGTGGGCTCCCACTTTTGGACCGAGTAAGATTGCTTCACCCCTCTCTTCTTCCAACTTCTCTATTCCAGCAATTTCGAGATACAAGAAGGTTAAAAAGCATCGTAAAGAATGTGTTTCTTTTGGAAGATCATTTCACACAAATTTACTTCACTTGTCGAGCGAAATGCTGGACTTTTTTGGAATCAGAACGGAAGCAGCGCCAAAACAATGGCGCTTCCATTGGCTCAATATTTTTGTCCTTTTCATTATTGATTTATTAATAGATTAGTTGAAAGAATGCTCACCAATCGTAGAGATGATGGGTAGTTTGTGGTTGTAGTCTTTCATGAGACTGCTGTAAAGCGCTGTTTCTTCACGTAAAAAGTCCGCGCTGTCTAAAACAATAAGTAAGAATAGCGGGACAAAAAAATTCTCTAAATTTTCTAATAAAAAACCCAATATCTCCGAGATCTTGGTAAGGGAACACAATAAAATAAAGGAGAATAAAACAGCGCTAATAAACGGAAAATAGCCCAAATAGCGCTGAGGCGTTCCATCGCGAGTTTCACACTTTAAGATGCTCCCTTCAAAGTCAATTAACTTTTGTAAAATTGAACACATTTTTATGATCGCCACCTTTTCTGAGGAGTGTGAACCAAGACTACCACCCCGACAAGAGTCAAAAAAATTTCTCCGAAACCTCGCTCAGTCAAACAATTTTCTCCAAAACCGCCCAAATGGGTATTTTCGGTGCTCTGATCATAATTATAATATTCGTGTTTGAAACTGACGCCATTTGGCACCAGTTACGCCAGTTTAGAACCCTAATTCAATAGAAACGTACGTGTGGGAGCCATTTCACATCCTGATTACGAATAAGACACCCGATTGTAAGGCTGGCGCAATTGGGCGCCAGTTCGATGCGACTTCGAACCAAATCAGAGCCAAACTGGGGCCATGAATCGTCTGGGACAAAAAAACGTGCTATATTTGTAATCAGGGCTTTGAAAACCCTTGTAAATAAAATCCCCTCAAGAAAGTCTGCCACCCTCAAGGCTTGTAGAGTTGTCCTTGAGGTTGTAACGGTTGCAAAAGGCAATGGTGATTGAAGCGAGCTGGCGTGCGTCCCTATCGATTGAGTTTACTAGCTACAAAAGCTGACGTATCACATTGCCAAAAGATCGCTTTTCTTCAGATCACCAAAGTGCCTTGGATCGAACGACAGCGCTCGTATTGATCGACTCGCCGGGCTCATCCATACTAATGCCTCTGTATTTTTTGACTTGGGAATAACCCTTCACAAACTCGTTGATTCAGAGCCAAAACACCATATTTAGCATCAGCGTCGAGAACACTATAGAATGAGATACATTTTGATTTACAAACTTTGAAACAGACTTTCCCTTGATCTTCACTGCCACTGCGCATACGGTAAGTGCATTGATCTACCGCCGTCGATGCCTGCCGTCGACGTCGACGTCGAAAAAGACGCGTCCCGTCCGAAATCGAGGGACTGGCAAAAAGCGAGGGACTATGGACATTGCGGAGAACGCAGGCGGCCAAACGAGGGGTCGGCGACAACCATCGACCGTAGATCATAATGAGCGCTTCTGATTATTGAAAGCCAAGATCAAAGAAATTCAGATTGAAGTTTCCCTTACAAAGTGTACATCATTGAATAGAGCTTTCGATGCTGATTGTGAATGTAATGGCCATTTTCTGGTTTGTGAACTTCTACAGTGGTGGAAACGGGAACGAGCAGGGTATTCTTCATTGCGCTAGTTTTTATGAGCTGAAGGTGGCGCCAAGTAATATGACTTTCAATTTTATGGCGAGGGGAAAGGAAAAATATATCCGCTTATGGCGCACTTGTCGCTGAAAAACGATACCGGTTGTGAAAAAAGGTGAAACTCCAGTTCGGGGGGGGGGGCCACTCCATTTTTTCTCCAATACTCAAGATAAGGATTAGAGGGCTCACGACACGTAATCGACTCATTTAAAGTAGACTTCTGATAAATATTGGTGTAATGGGTGAGAAACCCTGAAACGTTTTCACATTTCCGCCTGCCATGACCCAAGGGAACGGTCCTGGACCAGGAGAAAGGACACCTCCGCAAAGGGCTAAGGGTGCAGGAGCTCCAGGGTGGATCACCTGTGCAGAAAAGTGGATGGGATGTGGGCAGGTAGTGTGGAATGTAGGACATCCACCGGTCCTTATCAAAAGTACGCTCGAAATGAGTCGTTCACTTATTATCTTATCCGTAGTGTTCGATAGCCCAAAGAACTGCTCTCTAGTACTGCGTATTAACAC